TTTAGGTTGAAGAATCCCAAGATGATGAATTCATATAGAGCTGTTTGATTCTTCCCTTCCATAATATTGGCTTGTTTCCTTTTGGGAATTAGGCAGAGAGAGAAATACAGATTACAATAATTAATCATATGCTTCCGTAGCTGTAGTCTGCAAAACAAAGGAAAACAAGTGTTACAAGTAAAAATCATTCATCTCTGCATCAAGTCCCAAAACAGAGAAGCAGCACTCTTCTGCAAACCATAGCTCATACCCAACATAGATTCAAATACACCCAATGTTTCACTTTTAGATCAAGTTTCTGTAATCTCTGGTAGTTTTTAAGCAGAAATAAAATTATAGAAAAACACCAAACATCCTAAGAGTTCTCTGTTAATAGTGGCTAGGTCAGGCTCACCTGCATGTTCTTGGTGATGTGTGAGCCTGTGCTGCAGAAGATAGTTTATAGAAGAATCTCTGTTCTTCACTGGCTTCTTTCAAGCCATCTCTGTTCCCCCTTTTGATCTCTGAATGCTACTATAAAATTTTTCTATTTTTTCTGATTAAAGTTAACATATTTGTTTTAGAATATTTGGAAAATACTGAAATAAAATAAAAAATCTTTAGTATCCACCAGATGAAATATCTACTAATAGTTTAGTGTATGTCCTTCTGATCCATTTTCCATGTATAAATGTTCAAAATGAGAATCAGAAAATATATGTTTTAAGCTGATTTCCCCTCAGCACCATATTGTGATAATTTCCTATGGCAATAAGTATTCTTATAAAATATGATCTTTGAGTTGTATACAAGTCTTTATATAAATACAGCAAACTTTTTATATATCTCATCCTTATTAATGAATATTTATATTGTTTTGTTTATTTTTATTATGATGAATTTCAATAATAAACATATTGTTAGATTTTTCTGAATTCTGGGTTAGGTTACCTGAATTTCTATAAACTTTCCAAGAGACTCATCCCAAAAAGTTAGAGGCCCCCTGATGCAGGCTATCAGTCTGGAAAATTCAAGAACCATTTGGCTAATGCAGAATTCAATGTCTATTTGGACAAATTATTGTAAGTGCTACATGGAGAAGGGCGTTGATAATCCCTGAGTACTTTCTATACAGCATCACATTTAATCTTTAAGAAGGCCTCTGAGATAAGTAATATTGTCATTCCCACTTTCCAAATGAAAACACTGAGTCTCGGCAAGATAAATGTCTGGCAGATGTTATATAGTTAGTAGGTGAAAAACACAGTTTTATCATTCTCAAAGCCAATACACTTTCATTGAGTGGCTAAAAATTTACTTTCCATTAACAGATAACAGTAAAATGCTATTGAAAAACACTTCTTTGATTTTAAATACAACCTAGCTTCATATAATTGAGTTATTTTAACTAGTTACAAACTTTTATAACTTGTGTTCCTGACTGTTGATAAAATTAAAATGACTGTAGGTAGAATCCCCTAGTTTAAAATGTTGAAAATCTAATTCAAGGAGAAAAACTGATTTGTAGTTTGATATTTGAAGCAAATTATAGAAACAAGACATTAAATATGAAATTTTTAAAATTAAGGAAATTATTACATATTTATTTAAATGATACATTCAGATTAAAGTATTAACAATTGGATTGGAAAGAAATGGAGGTATTTGAGAGCTTTTAGGAGATACAGTATTTACAAATTTAGTATAAAGTGGGAAATAGGGACAAATTAAGGATAATAGTTGTAATTGACATTAATTGAATGCTTATGAAATAATCTTTTTTGCAAACTTTATGTCATCCAATTTACACAAACACACAAACTATGAAACAGACACGCCATGCCCATATTGCAAGTAAGATATTTTTCATACATTTCAGAGAGATTAAATAATTTGCCTAAAATTACTCCAATTTGAAATGGTGACATCGGGCTTTACGTTTCAGTTTGTGGCATTAATGAGTGCACTGTGCTAATACAGATTCTAAGAAACACTTCGTTAAGCAGTCCACCTCCCTACTCAATGTCTCTTACTCGTTCAGAGAATTACTTTCTTCCAGGGATCACCTGATACTTTTGCTTTGCCACTAAGGATTCCATTTGGGCCTCTATGCACCATGATCATTTCTCCTTACTTCAAAACATGTCTCCCAATCTGTTAGTAACCTTTTGTGATAAAATAACTACATGAAATAATCTAAACAATTAGTGTGTTTCTTCTTTAAATTTATTTGCCTTGAAGCAATAGTACTTTTTTTCCAGAATATGCCTCTTAATTTTAGTCACTTGCATCTCCTCAACTTGGATGTCTTTCTTCCTGCCCTTATTTCTATCTGCTCATCTACATTCTTTTTAAAGCTCAACTTAAATGGTATCTTTCTCTGTAATTGAAATAATGTTTCTCCCTTCCTGGAAATTCTGTATGCCTTTGTTTCAATCTCAACTGTGATACATATCACACAGCATACTTATTTCGGTGACATATTCACCTGCTTGGCCATAATTTTTTTTGTTGTTTTTTTGAGTTGGAGTCTCACTCTGTCGCCCAGACTGGAGTGCAGTGGCATGCTCACGGCAACCCAGCATCAACCGGCTAGGCTCTGGCGATCCTTCCACCTCAGCCTTCTAAGTAGCTGGAACTATAGACACACGCTACCATGCCCGGCTATTTTTTGTTTTATTGCAGAGACAGACAAGGTCTCGCCAAGTTGACGGGACTGGTCTCAAACCTGTGGGCTCCAGTGACATAATTTTTTTATGATACATACCTGGTCTTACTTATTATTTCTTAATAAATTAATAATTAGAAACATAATGGTCTAACCTTCAATAATGAATTCCTACTGTCAGAATGTCAGGTACTATAGCAGAATTTCTTCCCTTTTTTTATGTACCGATAACACTATAGAACTTAGAAAAAATGTTCAGACAGTTTATTGTTTTGTTCTCAGCCAAGAATAGTGGGTCATGCCTGTAATCCCAGCACTTTGGTAGACCAGGAGGATTGCTTGAGCCCAGAAGTTCAAGACCAGCCTAGGCAACATAGCAAACCCCGTGTCTACAAAATATCAAAAAATTAGCCAGGCATGGTGGCATGTGCCTGTTGTCCCAACTATTCAGGAGGCTAAGGCAGTAGGATCATTTGAGCCCAGGAGTGGAAGACTGTGGTGAGCCTTGATTTTGCCACTGCACGCCACCCTGCACAACAGAATGAAATCCTTATTAAAAATATATATATATATATTTTATTTTCATATGAATCATTTGAGTTAGAGTTAAAAAGTCTAAATGTTATGGATGATTACTTGTAATATCACACAGATAAGAATAGAAAATAAATTATATTTCCAAATTTGGAACAACATCTCCCAGGTAGCTCTCAAATCGTTTTACATAGGTCATGGCTGCATGTCATAGATATAGATTTGTTATGGCACAGAATTGAAAAGGTCACAATCTGTCATGTGAAGCATAGAAATTTCTGAGTTGCAAGAAAACAGCTCCCTCTTCCCTTACCCGAGACCCCAAAATCTGATATAATACAGGGTAAAAAAGAGAAAATATTTTTAGAGGTTTGTATCATAGTAGGATCTCAAGAATGGCCAGCCTCCAGACACCTACAAGAAATGGCCCCTAGAAAATTTATTTTAAAATATACCTTCTAAGGTCTCAGTCTTGACCTCCTAAGAGACCCAATGCCTCCTTATTAAAGAGTATTCTCAAAATGGGATGTTAGAAATTCAGAATCCTTAAATTGCAAAGATTCTAAAAGTATATTATCCAATCCCTTCATTATAACTTAAATCATATAACAAAAATGTAAAATGAATGTAAGCAAGAGCTTGACAAATAATAGCTACCATACAAGGATTTTAGATCTACATGAAAGATTATTTCTTATGAGAAAATATTACACAAAGTATGTTCCTGACACTATTCTCTGCCACCCAGTGACATTTTAATCTCTTCTCTTTTTTATAGAATAAAGACACTGTTCTTTATTTAATAAATAATCAGCAAACCCACAGAGAGCCATTCTGAGTGATGTCAAAATTACCCAAAATGAAAGAAGCTCCCTGGCTCATCCACACTCAATAGGTTGAGTATCACCCAAAGCACAGGGCAGACAGTCTTATTAATCTCTTCAGCGGAACCCCTTGAGCCATTACACTTCCACTGCCTAACCACTCAGTCTTTCATCCAAAGGGCAAGGCAAAGAAAAGTCTATCTCTAAGAGCAATGGAGCTACAGCTAAAAAGTTTTTTAAAAAATACTCACCTATGATAGAAAATATTAGGCAGAACCTGATGTAGGACTGCTTTTATGAACACATATAATAATGTTCTGTGCTGACAGCCTTCTGAGTGACATGTCTTCCAACTGAGTGTCAAGAGTCACCTCGATCCCTGAAGGCCAGCACATGGGACTGGAGTGAGCAAGGAAAATGCCTTCTGGATACAAGCATCCCCACATCTCGTGGGATCTTTAAAGGGCCCAGGAGACACAGCTATGAAACTTCTGAGCACAGGTCTTGAGACTTGCTATTTTTGATTCCTACCTCGACCCCTGAACATCTGGTTGTCTTCCAGCAGCTCAGGAATAGCTCTGCTTCAGGAAATCTCCTATGGAATCAAAACTGCTCCAGGTGGACCGCTGCCTCTTAGCCCACATTTGGCCAATAAGAAACAACTTTCATCCTTATCCCATTATCAGAGAAAATGCAGTTC